GTGAGCGAGCACGTACGCACGCACGCACGCACGTCCTGCGTCGCTTCCCAGCGACCCCGGAGTCCCGCCCCCAGGACCGCGCGCGCCGCCGCGTGTACACGTCGCTCGCGGAGAGGTGCTGCGGGCGGGGAAGGCCCCGGGAGACGCGCCTGGCTACCTGCCGGGCTGCTCGAGCGCGCCTCGGGTCCCCAGCCCTTCACCTTCCCCGGTCGTCGGCGGCGCTCTGCTCTGTAGCCAGGTCTGCAGATGGCAAAGAGATGGGGTCGCCGCTCCGCAAACCTGATTCTTGTGAGGCTTGGTGGTGAAGTCTCTCCAGCAAAGCTTGAAAATATCCCATCCCTAAGACAGGTTACCCGCACGGCCCTCAGAGAGAAAGGCTTTGAGCTTCTGTCCAGAGCAAGAAAATGCACATGTGGTACTGAGGGACGCGGAGAGAGAGGAGCTAGAGAGCCCACGGGCACAGTGAGGCAAAGAGGCTGGCAGCGGGAAGCCTTGGGAGTGGCAGCGGGTCTGGAAGGTGATCCCAGCAGCCTGGGACAATCTGAAACGGGTGCTCACACTTTTTCAGCACGCGAGTTACTTATAAAATGATCAAGTCAAAATGATCTACCAACTGCAAAATTGCGAAACATTTATTTATTACATTTATTCATAAATGCATTGAGAATGCTTTCTATGTACAATGTGTGTTTATGGACCTTGCATAACCGCATGAGTCTATATCGCACAACACAACACAATTAACTATGTACACTTTTTGTCATTACCTGTGTTTACTCTGATGACTCTCACTGAATGGAATGAGCCCGGGACGCATAGTCCGCACAGTAGCTGCTGACAGCCAGCCTCAAGCACACTTCCAAATGATGATCGGTCATGGTGGAACGGCACTTGGACTTAATGATCTTTATGTGGGAAAAGGCTGACTCACACAAATAAGTAGAGCCGAATAATACCGTCAAGGAGGTTGCACATTTTCTCATTTTTGGGTACTTTCCCTCTGCGAGTAAGTTCCAGAACTGTTCATGCGCTCTGGACTTCAGCGCGGAATGTTGGCTTGCAGTGTCAAAATCTCCCATTCCGTATGAAAGTGATACGTTTTTGTCTTCTTACTGGGTCCAGCTCCCCCACTCATTTTAATACCCTTTCTTACATTAAAGAGAAAAAAAACAAGGTCTGAAAATTGGCGATAACTTAGCTTGTTCGTTTTGCTGCACTTAGCACAGTTGTTTGCACATGCATTTGACACCTAAGATTGCATCTGATTGGCTGCACTGTATATCAATTAAGTGATGGGATTGATGATAGGCTTATGTCTATTTTCTTAATGCCATGCAATCTACCCATACTACATTTGGGATCGACTAGTAAATCGCGATCCATGTATTGAGCACCCCTGATCTAAAATCTGCAGGCATCAGATCCCTAAACTTGATTCTAAACTCCAAGGTCAGCAAACCCAAGACTCTTTTTGGGGAATCATATGATTACTTCCCTTTCTACGTCCAGGCAAGATCCAGAGGAGGGAAGAGCGTGACCAAGTTTATGATTGGACCTGAGAAATAAGAGCAGGCATAGGAACGATGGTGAGGCTGCCACAGTACTGCCATGCAGTGTTTCCTTGTGTTTACAGTGGGTCACCATGGGGATGGGTCTGAGCTGACTCGATGGCACTTAACAACAGACACTATTCACTGAGCAGCAACTCACTGGAGTCCCCACCCACCTGCTACCTCAGGTGCTTGCCTTTCCTTTTCAAACAAACTGCTTTCTGCTTGCCTTTTTCAGTCTGTGAGACCATTGCTTGGTTGTCGAGGCCAAGAGCCCCTGGACACCTCAGAGCAGGTGCAACAACATGACCATGGAGGAAAGGGCTCAGAAGTGGAGGGACAGAGACTCTGATATACTTTAGGGGACATCACTTGTGAGCTGTACAAGGGAGGTGAGGGTGCATCTTCAAAAGGTTGGTGGAAAATGGAATTAAAATGTATTCGATTTCCCCACCAAGGTTTATGAAGCCAACCTCATATGGACGTGCTTTGAGCAGAATATGTGAAGAGTCGAAACTGATTGAGGTGTCCTCGTGGGTGAAAAGGCTGAATCCCTTGGCTGCCAACCAAAAAGGAAGGCGGCTTGGAACAAGGTCAAGAGCCGCTCCTCAGGAGAATGATGTGGTAGTCTGCCTCTGTAAAGATGTACAGCCTGGGGAACCCTCTAGAGCAGTTCTGCTCTGTCCTAAGGACATTGTGAGTCCATGTGAATTGACTGAATTGGGAAAGATGATCAAGAAGGAGAGGAAAGCTGGATGGAGGCTGAGGAGACCATACAGGAAGAATTGAAAAATGATCAGAAAGGAAAGTTAAAAGGAAATAAAAGAATAACCAAAGGCTCCCCATTTTGAAATGAGCATAAATGTTGCTCTGAGATAGAGAACAGTCAGATTAGGGTTATATCAGTTCAGCAGAAGTAGCTCAGTGGACGCTTTGGGAACTGGAAGAGGAAGCATAAAAGGCGTTGGGAGCAAAATTGGAGAGCTTACATACTCATCTCTGGATGCCTTCTTTTCCAGACTTGTCACTCAACAAGCATTGATAGAAGGTCCACTATTGGTCCAGCAGCATGCCGGGCACAGGATTATTGTTCTCCTAGCTTCACAAGCTAATGCACATTAAAAATTTTTTAAAAACATTAAAAAAAAAACATTTTATTGAGTTCACAGCTTTTATAACAATCCATACATCAATTGTATCAAGCACATTTATACATATGTTGCCATTGTTATTTTCTAGACATTTACTTTCTACTGGGCCCTTGGTGTCAGCTTCTCCCTCTCTTCCCCTCCCCCACCCTTGTGACCCCTTGATAAATTATACATTGTTATTTTCATATATTATACCGTCTGCCGTCTCCCTTCTCCCATGGTTTCTGGTTTCTGTTGTTTGTCCCGGGGTGGGAGGGCGTGGGGGGGGTGGGGGGGTGGAGGTGGGGTGTGAGGTTATATGTCGATCGTCCTGATCCGTTCCCCCTTCCTCCCCTCCTACATTCCTTATAATGAGATACTGACCTGTAAACACATAATGGCAGCCAAGAGGGACAAGTACTGATCTGAGTACTGGCCACTGTAAGAAAGTTCTAGACTAAGCTCTCACAGCTGTCTGATCTGCAACACATCCTTGGCATGGTGCAGGAGTGGGAGGCGCCAGGTTTCAGCGTGCACAGGGTCACCATAAGAAGGGGGCTGACTTGAAGGCTGCTAAGAACAAGACACTAGATAGTCCATCTGAACCAACGGTTGGAAAGTAAATTGGAGAATATCAGGCAGAGAACACCTTTGCGGAGGCTGAAGGCAAAACAAAACATTTTAGGGAGCTGCCAGAATTTCTTGACTGCTAAGCAAACGGTTAGGGATTCCCCTCGCGGTACAGCGGTTAGGCACTCAGCTGCTCACCCACAGCCTGGTGGTTGGAGCTCACTGGCTGCTCCACAGGGGGCTGAAGGCACCCTGTTTCTCCAATAACTGCCTAGGGGGGGCAGTTCCACTCTGTCCTAGAGCGTCACTGTGAGCAGAAATGGACTTAGCAGCAATGGGTTCAGTGCTTTGGTTTAACTACAAGGTTGGAAGTTTGGGTGTACCCATGGCACCTCTGAAAACATACAGAAAAATGGCAAACTACCAGTTATGGAAATCCCCGTGGAACAGCGTTCTCTGCTGGCACCGCTCTGCTCTGGGGTGGCCCAGAGTGGGAGTCAAGTTGCTGGCAACTGGTTGGGGGAGGGGCGGGGGAGATGGACATTTCAGCATGATTGGAACACGAATTTCAAGAGCGTGACTGTTAGAAGCGATGGACTTGACACTGAGTTAAACTTTTGTAGGGCTTTGTGTGCCATGCTAAAAAAATGTAAATGTAAAAAGGGGACATTTTGACGGGCTGATAGAGTTAACATTTGGATTTTAGGAAGGTCATTCTAACAGAAGGTGAAAGAGCAGGGTTGGGAGCAAGGCTGGAAGCCCTTGTAGAGGTTCTGAAGTTAGGTAAAAATGCTAAAGGAGTGTAAGTGGAGAGAAAATGTTTTGAGAATGATGAGGGCAATGAAAGTACAAATGCGCTTTACACAATTGATGTGTGTATGGATTGTGATAAGAGTTGTATGAGCCCCTAATAAAATGATTTTTTTTTAAATGCTAAAGGAGTGAAGTAAGGTCACAGTTCTAGTGCCAATTCAAGTCAATTCCAACTCTTAGCAACCCTCTAGGGCAGTGGTTCTCAGCCTTCCTGATGCCGCGGCCCTTTCATGCAGCTCCTCATGTGGTGGTGACACCAGCCATCACATGATTTCCGTTGCTACTTCATCACTGTCATGTTGCTACTGTTATGAATCATCATGTAAACATCTGATATTCAGGATGTATTTTCATTGTGACAAAATGAACATCTTTAAAGCATGGTGATTAATCACAAAAACAATATGTAATTCTACATTATGAAATATTTATTTCTAATGACAAATAAATGAAATTTTGTCTTGAAGCATGGTGTAGCATGGGTAACAGTTTTTTCACCCAGTGCTCCTATGTGGGCATCTGTGCATGTGGGCGGACCCTCCTGGAGATGGTAGAGGTTCTGATGGTCTTAAGTGACCCCTATGAAGGGGTCATTTGGCGCCCCCCCAAAGGGGTCATAACCCACAGGTTGAGAACCGCTGCTCTAAGGCTCCCTTGGCAATACAAAATGAAGATGAAGAGAATTGAGGGACTTGTGTTGTTTTGGGGTGTCACTGACTGAGCTTTGACTCCAAGGGACTGCACATGCTGTAGTAGGAAGGTCCCATAGGGTTGTAAGCTTTACTGCAAATTACAGGGCTAATGAAGAACATTAGATACACGCTTTACTGCAAATTACAGGGCTAATGAAGAACATTAGATACACCACGGACGGTCAGAGCACAAGCAATTCTATCTAGGCAGAACTATCGTCAGAATGATCCTTGGAAGCAAAGTTAGCAAGACTTCGGATCCTTCTCAGGAAAGATCAGTCTTTGGAAGAGGATGTCATGCTTGGTAAAACAGAGGATCAGCACACACAAAAAGAGAGAGAGAAGAAATAGCAATTGTACAATTATACTTGATCTAATTGATTGTTATCTGTAAGAGCTCCCAATAAAGTGATTAATAATAAATAAAACTATAAAAAAAGAAAAAGAAAACCCTTTGTAAGACTTAATAGAGTCTTCTGGGAACCAAAGGTGCTCCTTGTTTTCCAGGAGCCCACCCTGTACAGTTCTTCCCCAAGGCGGACCCTGTAAAAAGTCCTGCACAAACAGGAGAGAATGGGCTTCTGTCAGAAACAGCGAACCAAGGCAGTGAGTGACCACCCCTGAGGAATCAGAGAGCCAGGAAGGATGACTGAGGACCGAACATGACCCCCTGGAGCCCCGTGATGCCGATCAATCAAGAAGACCTCAGCCTGTATTTCCCACCCCTGAGGGGCCAAGTCCATTCCTCCTTTCTGTACGGTATATAAGGGCACTGGTCCCTGAGCTCGGGGTTGATGATGCATGGTATAGCCTCAGCCCAGGCTGATAGGCTAAACTGCCTCAGCCCGGCTTCACCCAGGTGAGAAATAAACTTTGCTGTTTGCAACCCACCTGGTCTCGTGACTGACTTGAGTCTCTTTTTGCAACCTTATAATGAGATGGATTGACACAGTGGCTGCAGGAATGAATTCAAACATAGCAACACTGATGAGCACGGTGCAGGGCAGGGCAGCGTTTTCCTCTGCTGTATGTCGGGTTGCGGTGATTCACAGAACAATCCGTGATCACCCTGACGAGTTAACAGCCAAATGATTAATGGTGGCCCCACCAGATCTCTTTTCATGTCACATAGCACTGTAATTTAAATTCATTCCCCCGTCTGTCCGTGGGCACAGGCGCGCATCCCCCGTGGCTGGGATTTTCACATTCACTTTGGTGTCCACCGCATCCACTTAGACGCCGAGTCGCCCTTGGTGAAGGTTGACAGAACGAATTCGGACATGAAATACGAGGGGGAGCAGTTTGGAGATCAGAGAGTGCTGAGGGACCGAAGGTGAAAAGCAGGAGGTAGGAGTCCACTGCGGAGGGTAAGGAAGGAGTCCCAGGGCTATGCCTCACCCCTCCCACTGGCACCCAGCCCCTGCCCTTCCCAGTCTCTGAGTATACAAAGCGTGTCTGCTTTTCCCGCCGCTAGCAGGAGGCTCCATCCCCTTGATTGCCAGTGGCTAAAAGGCCTTTAACTCGAAGCCACGCCTCCACCCCCGGAGCGCGGCCCCGCCCTTCACTTGGAGAACCTCCTCCAGTGGGTTAAGCCACGCCCACCGGAGGCCCTCCCAGGCGCTGGTCCCTTGGCCCCGCCCCCGCCTGGGAAGAAGCTCGGCCGGCTCCGCCCCCGCCGGCCCTTCGCGCGGCGCTCGCCAGGGGGCGCAGCGCAGCCCGCCCGCCACCCGCCCTCGAGTCTGTCGCACACACCCCCTCCGCCCCGCGCGCCGGCATTCCCAGCCGAAGCCGCCTCCGCTCTGGGCCCGCCGGGCTGCGCCCCCTCCGGCTCCCGGAGGGGTCGGGAGAGCATTCCCGATGGCGGCGGCGGGGTCCGCGAGGCCACGGGTCTGAGCGGCCGGGCGTCATGGAGGCGGAGCCGAGGCCGGCGGCGGGGCCCGGCGGCGGGGCGACCCCCGGGCTGGAGGCAGCGCCGCCCTCTGCCCCGGCGGCGCCGGCGACCGTGGCCCCCGGTCCGACCCCCGGGTCCCGACCGGAGCCCAAGAGAAGGCAGCTGAGGACGCTGCTCCAGCCCACGGTCAACAAGTTCTCCCTCCGCGTGTTCGGCAGCCACAAAGCCGTGGAAATCGAGCAGGAGCGGGTCAAGTCAGCGGGGGCCTGGATCATCCACCCCTACAGCGACTTCCGGTACTGGGGGCCTGGCGGGGCGCGGGGCGCATGGACCCGCCGCGTGGGCTGCGGCGCAGGGGCTGGGTCCGCTCCACCCTCCGCGGTCACTTCCTTGCCGGCCCCGGGGTCCCAGGGCGTGCCGGGGGAGTCACCTCCTCCCACCTACCCGGGAATTCCTGGTAGGGGATCCCCGGCCGGGGGTCCTCGGTGACTTCTCCGACTTGGGGCACCAGAAGGGGCATGCACACATCAGCGATCTCTGGGGCCCTGGATTTACCGTTTCGGGACCCGGAACACCCCACTTGGACCTCAGGGACTGCCGGCGTTAGGAGCCGCTGCTTCCTTCAGCCTTACTTGCTTGCGAGCTGGGATATTCTGTCGTATCCCGCGGCTCGGCTCGGGGGGCGGGCAGCTGGAGGCAAGAGCCGAGCTTCGCTTCGCCCCCACCACCCCCAGCACCTGCCTAGCTCGGCAGGGCAGGCCATCAGGAAAATTAAGGGGGTGGGCATCCTGGCGCTGTCCCTGGTGCTGAAGTACCAGGGGGAGGGGCAGGCGGCGACCCAGAGCCATTGAGGTAGCAGCGAAAGGGCACAGCCACCGCCCAGGTGACTCCGAGGGAGGGGTGGGGGTGGGGCCACTTCTTGAGCCCATCAGCCTTGTACCTCTACATCAAGGTCGCTAGGGGAGGAGCGCAGCCGGCCTGTCCTTGGGGGGATGAAGGGCAGCTTTTGGACGGGCCACCGGAGGAGCAGGGAGATGAGGTGTGAATCAGGAAGCCTGAAAACACAACCAGAGACAGACATCATCTTGAATTCACAGACATACACATTCCCCAAATGTTCCTCCTGGCCCATTGTTCCTCTCAGTTCCCCCCGCCCCGCTCTTCTTTTCTGCCTCATCCCCTTCCCTCTAAGGCACCTTTTCTAGTCTCCTGTGAGTGTCCCTCCTTGCCCCGCCCCCTTGCATCCCCAGAGTCCATGTATCCCCCTTATGATCGTGCTGCTCCCTGCCCTCTCTCCTGCATCACCCGCGGGGCTTGTGACCGCCTGTGTGAGTCAGGCTGTGAAGACGCACCATGGTTAGGCAGACCTTCTTTCCCTCCCTTCTCCCAGCAGGCAGGACAGGATCTACGCTCAGGGGTTCAGGAGGGAGAAGGAGAAGGGGTCAAGGCCATGCTGAGAGGGTTCCTGGAAGCTGCAGGGAAAGCCTAGACTTGGAGACCAACCCCCCCTTGCAGGGGCCGGCAGCAGTGGTTTTGCATGGATCCCGGCGCTGGGTCCTGGCTGGCTGGCTGCTTGAAGCCGTTTCCTGGAAATTAAACCACGATCGGTCATAGAGACCCTAAACTGTCCAGTGATTTTTTTCCAAAAGGGGCCTTGAGCCAGCTCCCTCCTGGCTTCTTCTTTCCGCAGCTGCCCCCACAGCAGTGTGGCTGCCCCCTGCTCCTGCCCTTGCCCAGACTCAGGTACAGTCCTGGTGCAAGCGGGAGGGCATGTGAAGAGAGGAAGGGCACATAGAGCTTTAAGCTTGCTGGGGGAGGGGGGAGCTCCTGTGGAGCATCTGGCGGTGCAGC